ATAGCTCCAACTGCCCTGAAGAAGGTTTTCTCTCTGGTGACACACAGTGCAATCTTTGGCATCGTAGAGAACAGGGTTGGAGTGAAGAAGACATCTTCTCTTTTCCAAACAGCAGTAGAGAGCTGGAGAATGATAGAGATGTTTGGAAGAAGGGGTCTCAAAGTGGCACAGTGGGAACCTCTCCAGACACCAGATCTGAACACCTCTCTCTGCTATTTGGGCAGCAGTATGACTCGTCCTCCAGTTCTTCCTGTAGGGTCGTTCGGGGGACCCTAACAAATGAAGATGAGGAAGGAAACCTGGAGTGTGACTGTGCAGCAAACTGCCCGTTTTCCCGTAGTTCTGGTTACCACACAACGGACGCTTGTGCGGACGATCTTGACAGCGAGCCCTCCAGGAGCTTTAGCTGCTCCACTGTGTTGTTGACAGACTGTGATGACACGCAGCATTCACCCTGCGAGGACTACCCCTCATCTGCAGATACTCTCGATCTGGGGTCCACTGAGAGTCTGGACAGGGAGTGGACGGATCAGAGCGTTTCTAGAGAGGAAGTACGGGAGTCGTTGTCGCGAGCATCTTCTGAAATGGATTCCATGACCCCGCCTCAAACCCCCAATGGCGGGTTTCATGAAACAATGTTTAGCGAGGCCGTCGTCACCTTCAGGTCTGCTTTGAAAGGGGCAATGAAGAAGTTGGAAGTATCTAACTATGAGGTAGTGGAAGATGATGCTAACACTATTTCTCGGTTGCCTCCATCCACACTTACACAATCCAGCGAATCCACTCAGAGGCAGAGCAGTGCTGAAGGCAAAGAGGAGGATGTTCATCAAGCTGCAAATACATCATCCTCGCCAAATAAGCTCCCCATTTATCAAAACAACAAGTTTTACACCCCTAACAAGTGTAACTCAGCAGAGTTCCCTCAAGTAACAGATGAAAAACCAAGCAATGAAGAGTCATCCAGCTTTGAATTGACCCCAAACCACAGCCCTGCCATACGGGCTAAATGTGCTCTGGACCCAATCAGCGAAAACTGTCCTCCTACTGAGGGGGACCAAGGAAAACCGGCAGATGCCGGTCATAGAGAGCGAATCGCTAATTTTCAACGAATATTGAGAGAAAAAAGACAAACTCATCAAAGATTCTCCAGGTCCACTCAGGGTTCACAGGGCTCCTACGGCTCTCAAGGGTCTCAGGGATCCCAATCTCAGGAGGAATTTGGCCCAGGTATTTAAGATTTACTCCTTTTCTTGAGCTTATACCAGAATGGCAGAATTACAGCTAAATATTGTGGGGAAAATCTGTCTGCAGAAATGTGAATACTTTAAGGTACATCAAGGAATAGAATTCGATCCAAAACTTGAACTTTGATCATAAAATTAGAAGATTAACCTAATATAGATATATTTCTACTCATTTTTATTATTACAACTCTCAGCCCATAAAATCCACCTAATTAAAGATGTTGTTTGTATATTACCATGATTATTTAAAAATGTAATTCTGATATTATTGTCAGACCTGAAATCAGATCAGTTTAAACAGTTTAAGTCTTTTTAAGGAGTCATGACCAGGTATTTGGTATATGCAGTCCTTCTGAAATTAATTTTAAGTTCCAGTTTAATTAGTTTTAGGAGAATTTGGCTTTTAAATAGAACTCATTTTGGTCACTATTTTATACCTCAAATTTATTGGAAGGTTACGTGTGAGAATTTGACTTGTGTGTTCACACATTCATGTGGATGTAGCATTAGCAGTTAGCTCTAGTTAGGTTCCATCATTTCCAGGTCACTTAGGCTATGTTCACAATGCAGGCCTTGATGCTCAATTCAGATTTTTTTGTAAATATCAGATTTTTTTTTGCATTGTCGTTCACATTTCCAAATATATGCGACTCGTATGTGATCTCCTGCGGCACTGCATTCATACAACGCAAGTGTCCTGCATGAGCAGTGGAGGACGCAATGCCGTCACAAGCCAGGGGGCTCTGTTTTTATGAAAGTAAACATGGATGGTAGTGCGGGAGCACATCTGGCGATCTTTCCCAACCTTAAAAACACAATCTCTTCAATATAACTACTACTCTCTGCATCATCGTCCGTCATGGTTGTTGTTTTTCTTGCCGCTTCTGCGGAGCAAGACGCAGAATAGTGACATTTGTCGGGTTTTAATGGCGTACAGGTCGGATGAATCCGACCTGGCTGTTTAGACACAGCTCGCATTTGAAAAGATCAGATTCGTATCGGATTTAGGACCACATAGCCAAGTGACCTGGGTCGCATTGGAAAAAATCGGATCTGAGTTGTTCAGACTGCCATTAAAAGATCAGATCCAGGTCACCTATTGGTAAAAAAAAATCGGATTTGGGTCGCTTCAGGCTGCTGTGTGAACATAGCCAATCACAATCGGTAAGAAGTTGCAAAAGCAGCAACACTAACGGATTGTCTGCAAGTAATTCCCTGAGTGTTGGAATTACCTATTTGGTGGAATAGAGACAGGAGTGGTGATAGCAATGCAGGCTAATATTAGCACCCTTCCAGGAATGACATTAATCATGGAGGAGGACTAAAATTCTGCTTTGTGGAGATTGAGCCTTTGTTGGCTATTCTGGTTTGAAGGACCCCACACAAAAAAAAAAATATAATTTTAGGCATCAGATTTTCTGTTGCAACTGAAGCCAAACAGTGACACATATGTTTTAATGTGAAAAATTTAGATTTCTTTGTGATGACTCCTTTAAGGAAAGGTTTGTTTGTAGCTCTTGGAAGGTTGCATAAGACTTTTTAAAACCTTAAACAAAGCTTGCTTGAAATCCAGTTTAAAGCCCTCTAGGTGGCACTGTGACTTAAATTTGATGTATTCTCCAAAACAAAACCATTTGAATTTGTTTACAAGTAGATAAGTTATCATCCTTGGCCTATTGGGCCCAGATTGTGTGAAAATGTGCATATTTTTAGTGGGACAGCTGACGTTATTACTGTCGCCAGTAGAAATGGATACCAAACAAACACCATCTTGTTATTATATTAATTATTATATTATATTGAAGATTATACGTCAATGAGGGAATACTGCGCGGCTCTGGTGATGATTTTAAAAGCTTTGAGATCATCATTGGAATTAAATGCCAAGTAAATGGCAGAAATGAATCACAGTCTGTTAATCAATCTGTTGATATTCTGATTAATTTTGATGATCATTTAAAGCTACTTTCAATAATTTCTTCATTATTTTTCTTTAATATTTTCTCTTTCAGAGTTTGGAAGAGAAGAATATCAGGTTACACAAATATTGTAATCTCTGTTTATTCCTGCACACCTTTTTTTTTTCTCCAGATGTGTTCGCTGTTGGGTTGTTTATGCATTTTGTTTATTTTTGTTGTTTGTCTGTTTTTTTTCTTCAGAATTATGACCAGGAGTCTGCAGACTGCAGCTCTGGAGCCATAAGTGGCTCATTGGACTAAACACAACTCTTACTAAACTAAGTTGAATAACAAGGAATCAGCTAATGTTTTAAAATTTAAAAAGTGAAAATAAGGTTTTAGCAGTTTATAATTCTCACAACAGAATGACACTAAAAGTAGCAGTAATACCATGTATTTGTTTTTAGTCTATTTCTTTTCATTATATTAGAATTTTTTACATCCCTTAAAAAAGGCTTTTTTTTTAACTTCAAAATGCAAAAGAAAGTCATATTTCTTAAGATATATCTCTTACTGTTGAATGTATCAAATGTTTTTCATTGCCCTTGTTTCCCAAATGGTTGTGTAACATTTTAAACTCTAAATCAGTTTTATTTGGCTAAACTGAAGATTAAAAATGACTCTTTGTTTAAAATAAGGTTGCGGACTCCTGGTCCAGACTTTAAAAATTTTTTAACGGTATCGGATGCATGTGGTTTGAGTCTAACTCAGCAGTTTTACATCTTTTTGATTTACTCGCCTGGAAGCAAAAACAGAAAAACTCAGAGGGAGCCAGAAGTGTCCAAAGTATTAATGTTTCTTGCAAAAGTAAAAGTATAAATCCTACAGTTCAAAACACTTTTATAGAATTTAGAGGGCAAATTTACGGAAGAGGATAAGGGCCACTGGAAAAAGAAGTTAACTGATTTTTAAATTTTATTTAAGTTTACAATGGGGAAAAAAGTCAGAATTCTGACTTTTTTTCTCATGACTATTTATTCTCGTAATTTTACGACTTTATTCTCGTAATTCTATGACTGTTCTCCTTGTGACTTTATACCCATAATTTTACGACTTTATTTTCGTAATGTTATGACTTAATTCTTGAAATAGAAAAAAAAAACCTCTAGCCTGGTCCTAATACTTATGTACACACGTACATTGCTAGTTTTTAATCTGTTAGCAGGCTTAACAGCGATTTAGAGCGGCGATATCTACACTTGGTGTCCTTGATTAACAAATATGGGGTCTTAGGATCCACCACAACAATTAAATGAAATATTAAACATTATTGTTACTTTGAAAAAAAAAAAATATATATATATATATAAATCCATCCCTTAAAATAAAAAAATAAAAAAACTCTTTGCTTTGGTCCTCTGGTACTTGGTGGATCAGAAGCAGAAGTTTGCAAACATCTTTTCTAGATGTTGCAAAATGTTCAATGCAATCTGTATTACTTTGAACATGTTTATCCACACTGTTAGATGTCTTCAACTTTTATTTGACTTTTTTAACCTTTAAATTTCTATATATTTTTTACTTTTGTGTGAATCTTTGGGCTTCTGTTGTTTGCTTGTTTGTTCCTTTCACTGCCTCCACATCTGTATTTACCCACAGATGAACAATGAAGGAGGTTTTATTCTACATGTTTCATCATCACAAGTTTACCTCATTGTGTGACTATTAAGTTCTACAGCCTTTTGGGTTTTGTATGTTTGCCTGATGTGTGGTATCAGAGAGGTTAAACTCAACCAGACCATTTTTCTGATGTCTTATCTTAACTTTTTATCCTAAAACATCCATGATATTCCCTCAGGTTAGAGATGTGGAACCCAACAGCAGACAGGCCTGGCTTAAACCCGGGTAAGTCAAACTTGTGTTGTGCCTGCAGGCGGTGCAGGTAAGGAGTCGTTGGTTAGCAGCATTCTGGAGGTTTTCTCTGATGTAGTTTCAGTCTTTTCCTCTAATATCTGCTCTTGTTTTGTTGACAGCGGTGGATCTGGTCTGTATGGAATTGACAGCATGCCAGACTTGCGCAAGAAGAAGCCCATCCCTTTGGTCAGCGATGTGGTCAGTACCATTCACTCACTCTTCTTAGTGTTGTCATTCTGGTTTGCTTTAGGTCTATTTTAGGTTTTTGGTTTGTCTTTGTGAAACTGTGGCGGATGTTAGAGATCTGCTTTAACTGTGAGGATTAACATGTTCTGGACTTTAACTGCAGTGATTTCTTGTTTTTTTTTTTTTTTTAAGTTGGTAATTTTATGTGATAGAACAACAAAGAGTTGCACATCCAAGTTTTATGCTAATCTTTAGGGAGTTTGGTCCAGTTGCTCAGCCTTGTTGTTTGTCCAGGCTGGTGTAGTCATGCTGGGAGAAGTATGGAGACAGTTTCTTTCCATTATTTTTGCAAAAAGGAGCAATTTGATGACAATTTTTTTAATAATAAAAAAATGGTGTACCAGAGAGGTCAGATGACCTTTCACACTTCAACACAACCAATCCCCTTTGAGTAAATGGAAAGGAAGAGACCTCTTGGCATAAGAAAAACCGCAGGATTCTGTCTGTGCAAGAAAACAAACCCTGAATACTTCGTCCCTATGAAGGCAGAACTCTGCAAAAAGGAGACACATGATAAATATTCATCGGAGCAATTTTATTTAGTAGCCAAGTTGTGGTGAGCGAACAGAAACAGGTCCTCACACAAGTAGGAGACAATCTACAGGCGCATAAAAAACAAGGAAGGAGCAAAAAATCGTGGCTATGATATATTGGGGGGGGTATATTGGTATTAACTCTGCACACATAAAATGTTTAAAATGTGTGTGTAGAGTTGGGGTGAGTATTAGCATGAGTGTTACGATACGATGCGTGTTACAATACGATATTATCACTATACTGCAACATCACTATATATTGTGATACCGTAATTTTCGGACTATAATTTGCGACTTTTTCCCAATTTTTCCACCATTTTTTAACTTTGCGGCTTATATAACAATGCGGCTTATCTATGGACTTTTACAGTTAACAGCCACTAGGGTAATATGGTACCTAAATCTATGGATTTTTCCATCCACCATATTGACGTCACATTTGCTTCACACACAAGTAGCCGCGCGCGGGAATGCGGACGTCCTCCGAAAGACAGACTCCGAGAAAGACAGACATTGCGAGCGCAAGACAGTTTGTGTGACACCCTCATTATGGAAAACAAAACGTTGAAATGCTTATGATGCAGCTTTTAAGGTAAAGGCAGTCAATTTGGCAGTAAACGGAGGAAATAGAACCGAAGCACGTAACCTTGGAATCAACGAGTCAATGGTGAGACGCTGGAGACGCCGGCAGGAAGAATAGTCTCAATTCAATTGTGTTGAAATGTTAATAAATAGGAGCTTCCCCAAACACTTGCCTCTTTCCCGACAATCCTCTCTGTGCACGAACCATTTGGTAATTAAACATAAAAAAAGCCTGCAGCTTATAGTCCGGTGCGGCTTGTATATGTACAAATCATGCAATTTAGCTTCTGCGGCTTATATTCAGGTGCGGCTTATAGTCCGAAAATTACGGTACTTTTAAAATTAAATGTGTAGTTAAAAAAGTAAGTGCAGTATATGTTAATCAGAAGGTATTGATCATTCAGTTATTTTGGTATCCATGTTGTTTGGGGTTTGAGTCAGTCCAAGGCTTCCACCGTGAATGCCTCAATTACAGATATGGCGATGCAGCGCACAGCAAAGGGGGTCCACAGCGCTATCTACCAGAGTAACGTCGGAGACGTAGCCCATTTTCCCTCATTATTTTAGGTAAAATGTTTTTTTAAGATTGATATTAGGAAATGAAAGATCGATATTATATTTGGCAGCCAAAAATCCCAACATATCGCAGAATATGTATATTTTTCCCCCACATCCCTAGTGGAGTTTAGTTTACCAGGATGTGTTTTAAATAAAACTGCTCTAATGAGCATTTCTTTCTTTCTGCAGAGTTCTGACCTCAAGTATCTCTATGTCAGGTCTAAGCACCTAAAACATCATACATACATACAGGGAAAGAAAGAAGGCACAGAGACAATTAATTTAGTTTTACTCGCCAGGAGAGTAGGAAGAGACTGCAGAGTTAACAAATCTCCAACCCTCTCTGCCGGTCTTCAGCTTTCTCCTCGCTATTTATTAAAGTCAGGGGGGTCCCTAGTTACACAAGCTGAGGTTGCGCTAAAGGAATAGGAAACAAGAAATACAACTCAATTTGCAGCCTCAGTGAACAGGTCAATTTGCATTTAAATGTCTTGCGGTCAAATGGTCCAAGAACCTCCTGGTTTTGACCTATACTATAATATGTCACACATTATACATCATAAGAACAAACATTAAGTATCTTATACATAATTATTCCAACACTCTACCATTTAAGAACTGGCGGTGGCAGCATCATGCTGTGGGGTTGCTTTTCTTCCCTTTTTCCAGTCATGCACCACTTTGTGTTGCTCTATCACATAAAAAAAAAACCTGATGTAAGGGATTTAATTTTAGGTTGTAACATATGATTTATAGTATTTTTTATTTTTTGTAATTCTGTATTTTTAAGATGAATTTGGGTTAAAACTGTCAACAACACATGAGGACCTTTGCTGAGTCCGAATGCTAATTTTTCTCTCCCTCCTCTCCTAAACCTGAAAATATTCCCCAAAACTCTCTTGAATGCTTTCTCTCTTCCTGGTCAGGCTATGGTAAGTTCTAGAAACACAGACGCCCCTCCTTTTTCCTGCCCAGGTAAAAAAAGAAAACAAACAAACTAGCAAGTCGAGGGTGAATAAAACCTTTAGCAGCATGGTGATCTGTTAGACTGCACCAGTTTAATCTGAATAAAAACATGCATGCTCCCTGTTGCTCCTGGGTAGCTTCCCTTCCTGCTTGATATCATCAATTCACCGTAGTCAACCAATCAATCCTTCACCCTGTGGTTTATGTTTCTTCCTCACTTGCTGAGCTTTTAGTTAAACTAGTTTAGATGAGAAATCTGGGGTACTAACACAGTTCTGTTTCAAATTGATGATCTAAACTCCTTTTTTTTTAGCTTTTGCTGTTGATCTCTAGCTGCTTAAAACTAACAGCACTCACAAGGCGTTGATAGAAAAGAAAAAACAAGCTGTGCTAACTCTACTGACCAGCCCTTTAACCGCCCTCACTCGATACTGCTCTAGCAATAAAATGAAGGTGTTCTCAGTTTTTGCGTGGCACATCATTTGTTTATTGGATGCAAACTCATGCAAATTTTCCTTGTTCAGTCCCTCGTCCAAGCCAGGAAGGCTGGCATTGCCTCTGCTATGGCTGCACGGTCCTCGTTCAAGGATGAGGAGCTGGTAAGTAGCACTTTTGCTTGTTCTGTTTTCTTTGTTTTTATTTTTAATTCAGGGCAACATGAGGAATTTTAGAAATATAAAGTTCTGTTTTCTTCTTTTAAACCCCTGACATGAAATAAAAAGATTTCCTTCTTTTCCTAGAAAAACCATGTGTACAAGAAGACCCTGCAGGCTCTCATCTACCCCATTTCCTGCACTACACCACATAACTTTGAGGTGTGGACGGCCACCACTCCCACTTACTGCTATGAGTGCGAAGGGCTGCTGTGGGGAATCGCCCGCCAAGGCATGCGCTGCTCCGAGTGTGGGGTCAAGTGCCACGAAAAGTGCCAGGAGCTGCTTAATGCTGATTGCTTACAGCGTGAGTACAGGGAAACTACGTGGGAGGGATGCATTGCACACTTGGTCTCTTTTTACTGGAAAATTTCTTTTCTTTTTTTTTACTAATGTTTAAATCACATTAGGAAACCATTTCAATCTCCTTTCTAGGGCAGAACATACAAGATTGATTATTAGATTATCTCAATCTAGATTAAAAATTGGCAGCAACATCAATTTAGATCAGTTTCAATTCTTTCCATGAAGCTTTTTGTGAAAAACTTACATTACAACCACAAATATATTTTGTTGAAATCTCACGTGAAACACCAACACACATTGATGTACAACTGTGAAATAGAAGGAACATTTTATATGATTGGAAACTTTTTTATAAGTTTGAAAACTAAACAATTTATGCTGACATTATGGTCAGACAGTTTATTTGCACATATATGGAATAAATTCGCAACAATGTCCATTCAAAATAGAGGAATTTAATAAATAAATCAAATTATGCAATGATGTTATAGTTCGGCATTGATTTTGTGTTTAAGAACCAAAGTTTATCTTGAATTCAATTCAATCCCATTCAATTCAGTTTATTTATATAGTGCCAATTCACAACACAACTCATCTCAAGGCACTTGAGAAATTAGGAATAAGTTAAAAAAAACTATTTTACAGCAATTGGAATGTGTTCAAACCAATTCACAATGCAAATCCAAAGAGGTAGAAATAACATCATTCTTTATATTAACATTTAAAGAAATTATTTTCTGAAATCAGAAATAAATAACTATGTAGATATTTGTTTGTTAACCTTCTGCGTTTTTCATGAGTAAATGGCCATTAGTAGGATTACATTAGATTAGATTAGATGAGCTTTATTGATCTCACAGCGGAGAAATTCACTGGTCACATATTGGCATAGTAATTAAAGAAGGTGCAAACAAGGAGGAAAAGGTGCATTAGGAATAAACAATATATATACAGTTTATCAAGGTATATACAGTATATCAAGATAAATAAGGATTAAGGTGCAAGTGTACATGCATGAAAAACAAAATAAAAATAAGAAATAAAAAAATAAAAAAGTAACCGCTGTGGCAAAGAGCTGAGCGTCTGGTTCAGAGTCCTGCACTGGTCTGATTTTTCAAAACTATATATGTCCGTACCAGTAGAGTTCAGAACCAAGACCCGACCCATTACCTGCAGTTATCCCCATTTAAAACCCGGGACTGCATGTACCCGTAAATGAGAAAGTGCGACCCGACCAGTGATCACAAAGTGTACATGAAGCAGTTTTCGCTGCGCTCACGGATTAACAGCTATACATTGGCCAAAGTACGAAGGTTTGCTTCCTTGGTTAAAAAAAAAAAATGCTCTAATCTGGGTGTGCTTTGGTGGCACAGTTAGAGTGCACGACACATCTATGGAGGCCTTAAGGGCAGATTGGACTTCTGCAGCCGCACACATCAAATGTTGCTTGGGTCTGGTCGCGAACCAGTTTTGCTGGTATGCTTCTGCACCGTCGGTCGGGAGTTTCTAGGGATGCACAGCAGTTTCCCACCAAAGCACAAGGTGGAGCCTATTCGAGAACTCGCAATACTTCGAGGGATTGTAATTCCAAACCTCCTCGATTAACCTTTCGTCGTTTTTGTCCATTGTAATTGTTCCTCGGTTTTTAAAAAATGGTGCACTCCGGCACAGAATCGAGAAGGACGACCACACAGACAGCCGGAAAGGCATACCAAGAACCAATCACAGCTGATTTTTGTCTGTGCGTTTCTGCTTGAGGTCTGTGCGGGTTTGCGACCATCCGACGCCTAGTCAGGATTTTTCTGAGGTGCGCGACGACGGTTACAGAACCTCGCATAGCTCTCCCTCTCTCTTTTTTCCCCCATTCCTGTCAGACTTCTGTACAAAAAGAGCCGCAAAACCTAAAAAAAAAAGAAAACAAAATGACTGCTATCTGGATATTCTTCAATCAATTTATTTATTAAGATGTGAGAGTTAATAAATAAAACATAAATAAGTTTCATACATGCTGTAACTCTGTATGATACCTGCCTGCATTTTGTTCATTTATTGTACAAAATTGTACATTTAATACTGGTACCCGCTGGATACCCGACCCAGTTTAGGACTCTGATCTTGTTAGCTAGCATGTAGTTAGCATGCTGTCGCCATTAGCTTTGCTGATTGGCTCTCAGAACAGAGAAACACATGAAATGATCAGAAATCTTTAAAAACCCAAAATAGTTTATAGGGAGAGAGTTTCCGGATATTTTTCCAGACCTGCTGCAAAGGCTGCTCAGGCACGATAAGATATGCAAACCCATGTTCTACCTGCAGTTTTAGAGCAGCTGTAAAAGACAGGTGAGGTTATAGGCTAGGTAGTTGGAGGTAATAACTTTATACATATTATTTTTAAACTAGTTATAATCATAACTGAATATTATTTATTTTGCACTTCAGATAGGTAGCCCATCGAAAGAAGTTAATTAGAAAGAAAGAAAACCTTGGACAGTTGTCTTTCTGTTGACTGATCCGACAGGGGGTGCGTGACCCCTAGGGGGTCCACTGAGGTACTGCATGGGGGTCGCAAACGTTTGGGTTGATTAGACTTCTTTTTTAATATTCAACCCCTGCAGTTTTTTTCTACTAATTGAAATGTCTTTAAATCCACTTTAACATGAATTCAACACACTGTAGTAAACAGATAAATGGAGGCAGAAGATGTCTTTCAGTCATCAATGCACACATTCAGCGACACACAGGAGCTCTTTCAAGCTGGGCACCGTTTCACCTGTCCCACCAACCAGGAATCAGAATCAGAAATACTTTAATAATCCCAGGGAGAAATTACTTTAGTTACATTGCTCCATATGTAATAGAGTGACTATAGGACCAGTTTGATTTAACACATTTTTATACAATATATATAACTATGGGGTCCCCGCTCCATCTCGCCATCAGTTTGGGGGTCGTTAGCCTGGAAAACATTGAAGACCCCTGATCTAAACAGCTGCTTGACCTGATATATAGAAAACAAGGTAGATCTATAATAGTTTAATAACTCAACTCAACCCTATTTATAAAGCCCTTTAAAACAACCATAGCTGCCACAAAGTGCTGCACATATCAGATAAAGTTAAAATAGTATTAAAAAACAGAAGTTTAAGGGGTTAATTCAATTCAATTCAGTTTATTTCTATAGCGCCAATTCACAAGTTTTCTATCTAAGGAAAATCAGTTGATTGCAACGACTCATTGACTCTTCAGCAACCCCTCACTCTAAGCATGCTTGTAGAGACAGTGGAGAGGAAAAACTCCCTTTTAACAGGAAGAAACCTCCAGCAGAACCAGGCTCAGTGTGAGCGGCCATCTGCTGAGGCCGACCGGGGTTCAAGGAGACAGAAGCAGAGATACAGAAAGCAGCTGTAAAAGGCGGCCCCGTCTGTTTAATAACATTGCTAGTTAATTTATTATATTTGTTGTAACGTCCAGATTACATCAAATATAATAAATTAAAGCAAATTAAGATATATATTTAAAAAAAAATGCAAAAAAAGAGAGAATCTGTGTTTAAAACCAAAGAATAACAGACCATAGAAGGAGGAAAAATATTCTTTTTGAGACCAGTTAGGTGTCCCTTTCACAGGCTCTGTGATGGATGTTTTTTTTAATTAATTAATAAATGCCCCATACCTAAGTGTCTGAAAGGTCGGTCGTTAAAGGGGATTGTTGGCCTGGCTGAATAGATGTCAATGTTAATATTCTACTTATTTTTATAAATGTGATTTGGTTAGTTTAGTTTTTGACTTATTTTTTTTTACTTTTTTCATGTTTATCTATCCTACTGATTTACAATCTCTTTATCTATTTTTTCGTTCCACGGAAACAAATAAATCCAATCACACATTAGGCTGTTACAGGAAGTATCATATGAACACAATAAATCACAGACATTATAACCAGATATGATTTATCCCTGAAAACAACATATCACTTTTAATCTATACTGTTCAATAACATTGCTAGTAAGGTTGGGAATTGATAAGATTTTCACAATTACGATTCCCTTATCATTTCTGTGAAATTATTCGACTACTTATCGATTCTCTTTTCGATTCTGTGAAACAATGAACATTTGTGTACCTTCGCCTTGGACAGTCTATTTCTCCCTGCCTCGGCAAAAACAGAAGGCAGTGAACGGGAGCTGCAGCCTCTGAGCCAGCTAGGCTACCCGTCTCGTCACAGTCATCTAAATCTAAAGGAGAATTTTAACTGTTTAATGAAAAAGCATTACTGTACAAATTCAGGAAATAAACTCATCTCCCCCTGATTTAAATAAACGAGCGTCACCTTTCACTCGCTCCCTGAACTGCGGAGCCACTTGGTAGCATGTTTAATAACCGCAAAGAGAGGTAGGAAACTGGTTTATTTCCAGAAATGGCATAATATATACTAGGAACCACATTAAGCACAGCCAGTGATATAAAACTAGCTACTTACCACCAGAATTTCCTTCCATGCTGGTCGTAACTTTAGCTTCTTTCAGGAAACATCAAAAACACGGCATTCGTTAAAATGTATGCCATGTTCTGTGCACAGGTGTTTCTGCATGTTGGATGTTTTCGTCCTGCGGATGTAATTGCCACTTTACAATGATTGCAAAGCGCCTTGTTGCCGTATTTCTCTTCCTTAAAATGAAGCCAAACTTTCAATCGCTTTGACCGCTTTTGTTTTGCTTTTCTAGTCTTACGCCTGGTTACGTCGTAACTTGCATAAAAAAACGTGACACAAGTCATGCTGCCCAGCGATAGGCTCTGGTGCTGCCTGGATCTGTTAAGAGAATCGTTAAACGAGCTGCCAAACGGTGCCATGGAATTGGAAAACACGGAACCGGTTCTGAACAGGAACCGGTTTTTGATTCCCATACCTAAATGCTAACATAGTGCTAGTTAGATAATGTACAAAAAGAAACCATGGATTTTTTGTTATCTTAATGCTATTTTGTGGGCTGCTCAGTGGAGCAGTGGGTGGCACTGCTGCCTTGCAGCACAAAGGTTCCGGGTATGATTCCCGGCCCGTGGACTTTCTATATGGAGTTTGCATGTTCTCCCTGTGCATGCGTGGGTTCTCTCCGGGTACTCAGGCTTCCTCCCACAGTCCAAAAACATGAAAGTTAGGTTCATTGGCTTCTCTAAATCCTCCTGTTTCTCCTGTGTGTCACTGTGTTGCCCTGTGATGGATTGGCGACCTGTCCAGGGTGTACCCCCCCTCGCCTGTAGACAGCTGGAGATAGGCACCAGCATCCCTCGTGACCCCACTTGGTGTAAACGTGACGGAAAATGGATAGATGGATGAATTGAAAAAATATATATTCATAAACTGTTTACAATGTTTAAATCAACTCACCAAGTTGGGCAATCTATGGTAATCAGATGGTTCTCGCTCGGTTTCAGCATGTTTTATAGTGGAAATGTCAAATGAAGCCCCCAGTGGACTTGAAGGAGATAATAATAGCTGGTGGGGATTTTTTTAGCACAGGCAGACTTTAACCTTTTAATGTCTTATATCTCCAACTGTTTCTGCTTTTGCTCCTATCTTTGCTAATGTTTAGGTGCGGCTGAGAAAAGCTCCAAGCATGGAGCAGAAGATCGCACCCAGAATATCATCATGGCCATGAAAGACAGGATGAAGATCCGAGAAAGGAACAAACCGGAGATCTTCGAGCTGATCAGGGAAGTGTTTGATGTCGCTAAAGCCCTTCATGCTCAGCAGATGAAGACCATCAAACAGAGCGTGTTGGACGGGACCTCGAAGTGGTCAGCCAAGATCACCATCACGGGTATCACGCCGGTTAAAATGGTCACCTCACACTCATCTATCTAGTGTTTAGTCTGCCTGCTGAGTCGATTTGTTTCTGTTTTAGTGGTTTGTGCTCAGGGACTTCAGGCGAAAGACAAGACCGGTTCTAGTGATCCATATGTGACAGTTCAGGTGGGCAAGACCAAGAAGAGAACCAAGACCATTTATGGCAACCTCAACCCAGTCTGGGAGGAAAAGTTTCACTTGTAAGCATCAAACATAAAACAAAAAACTGGAGCTTTTGTTTGGGGAATAATTGCCTCAAAACAGTTTTTTTCATAAGATTGTCAATGGTTTTAATTAGCTTTTGCGGGTTATGTTTTTCCATTTAGCGAATGCCACAACTCTTCAGACCGCATCAAAGTTCGCGTTTGGGACGAAGACGATGACATCAAGTCGAGAGTGAAGCAGCGCCTGAAGAGGGAGTCGGATGATTTCTTGGGCCAGAGTATCATCGAAGTTCGAACTCTGAGCGGAGAAATGGACGTCTGGTACAACCTGGGTCAGTATAGCCAGGAATAAGCCAATTTTGGTGCAAGAGAGACCCCTGCTGGATGAAATGACAGATTCTGGTAATCAACCTCAATTATACTGCGCTGCCCTCCTTCTTAATCAGGGATGTCAAAGTCAAATACATTGAGGGCCAAAAAGCCGAGGGCCGGACTGGTTAGATGTATATTAAAACATATTGAAATTAACATAACATATTGAACCAAGACCTAACACATTGTTTTTTAAACCAAATTATTAATATCAATATTGTGAATAAACTTATTCTGCATGCCTTATAAACCGAAGATACATCACTCTGCTGCTCTATGATCCTAACGATCCCTGCTTTCAAATAGTAAAATAAGAAATGAAAAAGAAATCAAATTACCGTAAATTCCGGACTATAGAGCGCACCTGATTACAAGTCGCACGCTCTAATTTTAGAAAGAAAATCAATTTTGTACTTTTATAAGCCGCACCGGATTTTAAGCCGCAGGTTTCCCACGTTGTATCAGATATTTACAAATAAAGATATTACACGTGAGCATTTTTTTAACGTTTGATTTAATCCGTATGATAAAAACAAACAAATACGGTACATATTATGAATGCTTTTTTTTATAAAACTACCTGTAACACATTTAAATATGTATACGTATGTGTCGGTAACACGCAAATAACGCTGCATATACCGGTACTTTTAATTGAACAACGCACAGACCAGGAAACGTCATTAATCACTTTCTTCTTCCTCCTGCGCACTAAAACCCTCAAAGTCCTCTTCCTCGGTGTCTGAATGGAACAGCTTCAGGATGATGTCACTGACTTCAGTCTCATCCTTGTCGCTCTCACTTGAGCACTCGCGGTCCTCTTCATGCCGCAGCAGCCCAGCCTTCCGAAAGCCGCCGTTGATGCTGCATGGTTTCACACGGCGGCATGAAAAAAAACATGTATTAGCCACACTGTATTATAGGCCGCAATGTTCAAACAGCGGGAACAAAGTAGCGGATATAGTCCGGAATTTACGGTAGTTGATTCTCTTACATGGCTCTTATCTGCATTTTTTCCCCCCAAGTCAATTCAACTGAAAAATATACTTTAATAAAATAAAATATGCTAAAATAAAAATTTTTCCAGCATCTGAGATTTCTTGGAATTAAAAGGTCCACTGATTGTCAATCATATCAAACACCTGAAAGCGTGTTGCATTATATTCAGTCATTCACCTGCTGATTGTTATGAACCACAGCTGTCAGCCCACTGATAACAGGACGAACACCGTAGCCACTGCTGCGCTGTTTTAACTCTTTACAGAGGAATATGCTTCTGATGTCATTGATAGCGAACTAGGATCTGTAGTTATAAATACCCAAATCATCTGAAACATTTTGTCCTCTGCTTCCTTCGTTTTTCTTCTTTATTTCTCTCACAACTGGAAATAATCACGTAGCTGGAAGCTGTCCCTGCTGCTGACGTGTGAAAATTACCCTTAATAATGTCCCTGTCAGGGCAAATAGCAGGGCTGAGCTGCCAGGCGGTCCACCTCCACAGAACCTCTGCTTCAAACATCTTTGGCCATCCACATGAGCTCCTGATGCATGTGTTAGCGCTGCCATTGAGCTGTAGAGACCCCCCCACAATAGAGCTGCCACCTTAATAACCTGTAATTACAGTTGTGTTAATAGATTGGTTTAAAGCATGGCCCAGGCACTGGGCTGGATCGGAGTTATGAATTGGGAAGGTGCAATGAAGTGAATGACTGTATTTGTGTCTGATTACAGAGAAGAGGACGGACAAGTCAGCGGTGTCTGGTGCCATTCGGCTGCAAATCAACGTGGAGATCAAAGGAGAGGAGAAAGTGGCTCCGTATCATGTGCAGTACACCTGTTTGCATGAGGTACATCCCAACGCTTCAACATTTAGCTTCATCTCATTAACTTAGAACACCGTTCAAACATTCATTATGCTTAAATCCTGATTTAAAAATAATGCAATTCATGAAACTCATTCTTCACCCCAGTAATTTTTACAAATACAATCTGAAAATTGTTTTTTTTATGTGAGCAAAAATAATAATACAATCAAATCTGAAAATATAGTAGAAACTATAACATTTTGAAAAGGAAATCCAAAAAAAAATGGCATAACTGTAAAAATAGACTTTAACCCTTTGTATATAAACGAATTACTCTCAAAATCTTGTTTTTTGTTAAAAAAAACATTTCAAAAGCTAAAATTTTTTAATGCACTTTTCTTAATTTTTCTTCTTTCTTTCCTTTTTTGAAACATCCTCTTTGTTTTAAATAATATTAAAACTAATTTCTCTCCATAAGTTAGTGTAGCTTCAGTTGTTCTGCGAGATATTTATAAGTTTAGAAGCATCTGACTAGGGTTAAAGTCACTACACCAATAAATAGTAATTATTTACACACCGGTCATTTAGGATCCATGCATTTACTTTAAAATGTAAAAAACAAAATGTGACGGGAAATCGATGTATTAAAACATATCAAACATGCAGATTAACAGTTTAATTTCTTAGGGGAAAAAATTCCATCTGAGGAAATAAACTGAATTTCAGAATTTGCTTATGTCCAAGAAGTGTTTGGTAAAAAAGTTTCTCAAGTAACTGATCTTTTTTTTCTACTAATCCTAATAACATCTGACTGAGAGTTTTTCAAATTATATAGTTTTATGAAATTGTTGGTGTTTAAAACAATAAGGTAAAAAATATATAGTCTACTCAAAGTTCTCAAATAACCTCCAAACCAAATAATATGACTGAAGTTCTCCCAACGCAGAAGAAAAAATAACCCACAGAAATGAGCAGAGAAACACTAAGCAGCCTTCTGCATTAATGCACACTAAGGTTGCAGGTTGAAGGCCTTGGCCTCCTTTTAAGGCTGTAACTTCTGGGTGGGCGGTGCTTCACCAACTGTCCAATAACAGACGGTTGTATCAAGAGTAAGATGTACAAGAATAAAAAGCTTTATTCATCTACACCTCTGGATTTAAGGTTATCAACAGAGGAAACTGTTTTTTGATGTTCTGATGTTTTATGAAGCCGTTTTCTGGATGTTTTTAGAAAAATAGCAGCTGTACAGGATGCCTGTAATACCCAATACAAAATATGATGCGGAAAATATTCAGTTATACTTTAATAACTATAATGTTTCCTTTCTTCCTCTGAAACAATGATTTATTATTTGGTTTTAAGCTTATTACAGTATAACTAATCCAATAATCCTATAATCAGAAAATCCAAAACGTCTCCTCCCCTCTTTAATAAAACAATTTTTAGTGATATGCACATAAAAATCCTTTTTTCTTTTAATTTGTAATCCTCTGATTTTAGGAGGCCTTTTAAAAGGTATTCCTTCTTCTCCCTGCAGAATCTGTTCCACTTTTCCACTGACGTGCTCGGCCAGGGGGCGGTTAGAATCCCAGAGGCTCGTGGAGACGATTCATGGAAGCTCTACTTTGACGATGTGGCGCAGGAAATAGTTGACGAGTTTGCGATGCGCTACGGGATCGAGTCCATCTACCAAGCTATGACGTAAGTCTCAGATGCCTTTCTTTGGTAGAGCTGATTATCCTCCCAACTCCAACTTCCTGTCATTCAGGGCTGGAAAATAACTTTAAAGGAATAGTACACCCAAAACATGATTAGCCTTCATTTTCTACTCACCCCCATGATGAACAACACTCTGGAGTACTTTTTTGATGTCTCAAATGCATCTGGAGATCTGGGAGGCTTCTTGCTGTCTGCTGACATTCAAATAATGGAGGTCTATGGCGCCCGAGGCAGAAAGGTCCATAAAAGTCCACAAAAAACGTGTCAATATTCCTCCATACTGCTCGTCCAATGTATTCCAAGTGTCCTGAGTGGGTAGCGTCCATAGTTCACGACTCTACGGAAACCGCGGCAGACTAAACCAGATGAAAGTGCGCATTCAGCGTCTGCTCTGCCGATAATGCAAGCGTAGAAGAAGAAATGTGCTGTTTACCTGTGCAAAGAAAGAAACAACGAAAGAAAAATGTCTGAGGACTTCAGTGTTGAGGAAGAGCATGAGTTCTTTGCCGAGCTGAATGCGCACTTTCATCTGGTTTGGTCTGCCGCGGTTTCCGTACAGTCGTGAACTCGCAGGCATGCGCTTTTAGGAAATCCTATACACTACTGTTAATGCTCTAAAAACCTGAAAACTCAGAGTTTTCGACTTGATGTTAGATCAATTTAGAGTTGCAGATTTTAATCTGAGTTCGTTAAACGTGCTTTGTGAAACGGACCCCTGCTGGGCCTCAGTATCATCTGAAATCATCTTGAGGATTTTCCTTAACCAAAGTTAATTAATGCCATATAACGTTTATTCTGCTGGAGGTTTCTTCCTGTTCAAAGGGAGTTTTTCCTCTCCACTGTCGCTACAAGCATGCTTGGTGTGAGGAATTGCTGAAGAGTCAATGAGTTGATGCAATCAACTGATTTTCCTTAGATAGAAAACTTTGGATCAATTTGACTGTATGATCTGGTTGAATTTTCTCTGTGCCTTGAGATGACATAAGTTGTGAATTGGCGCTATAGAAATAAACTAAAAATTTAATTGAATTCAACATTAAAAAATATATAATGTCACTATGCACCTTTAATTTTTCCTTTTCAGTTCAGTGAGTGTTTCTAACATTAGTTTAATGTTAATTTCCACTGCTATGCCGATGTTATTCAGCTTTATTTGTCCATAAATCCCACAAAAACAAACCCTTTTTCACTGATTACAAGCATAAAACCTTGAATTACTCTATAATTTCTATTAGAAGTTTTTGTCTTTGAACCAGAAAGAAGCTGATCAGTCAGTCAGGTTAGATTTTCCTCATACAGCCTAAAGTCAGGTGTGGAGAAACATAGAGAATAAGATGGCCGATGATTTTCCAAAGTGTCAGCGTTCAAACTTCCACAGATGTGTGGTGCATCTCTCCAGTGATGTCAGTGTTTTCAGAGCTTCTACTTCCTCCTTGTTCTGAAAAGAAGAGAAGAAAAGTTTTTCATTAGAGCTAATTTTTGCTAACCTGACTCCGCCAGCTGGATTTGCTCCGCATATCCATCTGGAAACCTTCCGTTGAAGTAATTTTGGGAAGGGGCGAAAATACTGGTTAGCTGATTGGCCTATGTTGGTGATATACGGGCCAAATAAACCAATCAGATCAACGAAGCATATGACGTACTAACAGAACGACGACGAAAACACAACCACAAGATCAAACTCTTGCCGAAACCAGTCGGGAGAAGAGCAAAAACATCTTTTCCTCTGAGAAAAGCCTCCAGAGCAGTGTTTTGCTCTTCTTTCAGTGAAGAAATACTCTGTAATTCCGATAAAACTTGCTCGATAGCCACGCTAATGCTAGTTTCATCGGCTGCAGCCGCCATGTTCTTTAGACTGAACTGTCGCGCTTCTCGTTGCGTCACACCTCAACCCGCCTCAAAGCCAACGCTGATTGGACGTTCGTTTTGTAAACGGCTCCAAATTTTCTTCAACGGAGAGTCTCCAGACTGACTAGCGAGCGAAATCTTGAAAGCTCGCGAGATCAGGATGGTCTCACGAGGCTAGATTTTTGCTACTTGGAAACATGAATTATTGGGAGCACTTTTAGCTGCAGCATCTTTACCATGAACTCTTCAGTAGATGAAAGGTGGAAAACAGAGCCTTGGGAATTATACTGTATGTACTGTTACGCTCTTAAACACCAACTGGAACCTTTTGCTGTGATTCTGGTTTTCTTCCAGACATTTTGCCTGCTTGTCTACGAAGTACATGTGTCCTGGGGTTCCTGCGGTAATGAGCAGCCTGCTGGCCAATATCAACGCGTTCTACGCCCACACCACTGCATCCACCAACGTCTCTGCCTCCGACCGTTTCGCTGCGTCCAATTTTGGGGTTTGTACAGCTGTAACTGTAATCTTGTTCTTTAACCCCCCTCCCCACCCCTTTCAAACAGGCCATGCTGCTGTCCTGTACAGTATATTTTTTATAAATAAGATAATCAGTCTAATGACTTTTCTTTTTCCCTCACAATACAGAAAGAGCGCTTTGTTAAGCTGCTAGATCAGCTACACAACTCCTTGCGTATTGATCTCTCCACCTATAGGGTAAGTGTTTTTAAAAGCGCTCTATATTGCTGTTTTTGTCTTTCTTTTTATCGCCCATTGGTTGGTCTACTTGAGGGGTAACCAATTAAAAATCAGCAGGGTCCGAATAAAGAAAATCATCAACCAGTAAAGGTCCGAAGACATTTTAGATTATAGTCTGTTACTTTAAATAGAATTTAACACTGAAATAAAATTAGGTTTTTATGCAATTTATATATAAAATTTTTAAATAAAGAAATTGAAAAAAAAGTCTCTTCGCCTCTCCTCAAAGAATGAAATATTATAATTATAACCAAACTTCCTAAAGGTTATGGTGTCCACCATGTCGGTTTGCTTGTTTACCTCTAGAGAGCAGTAATACCATAGATCGTCACTAGGAGGCGAGGAACAGTGCTAATTGTAAGGAACCGAGTTAACTGATCCAAGCTCGGCACGTCTCGGTTTTCAGATGGTAGTGTAAATGGGGCTTTTGTATCCAGTTAGCTTCAGTTTAAGTCACTAGTTTTAGCTCCACTTATCTCTCCATATAATTTCCAAAGTGTATTTGGGAGATTCTTTCACATCATGGCGGATGAGCAGGTAGGACCATCCTTAAAGTGACATCACATCAGTTTTCTTGTATTGATGAATTTATAGAAACACAATAAAGAAATCATATTTTTGGCATTAGGCTTCCAAAAGGCTTATGTATCCAAAAACTTACAATTCAGTTATAGAGATGATCCCTTCCAGATATCACCACACCCCCCACCCCATCACAGAGGAACAAAGTACCTCCCCTCTTCAGCAGGTGAACAATACCTCCTTAACGACCGACCCTTAACAATCATAGACAGGTTTCAGGTATTACAGGCTAACAATGGAACCAAATGACCCACTCATCGGTTTCCATTGCATGTTTCCAAGCAATACAAGGCTTTGTCTATATAAAGACTCAAACTCACTGCGGATCCAGACATTTGAATTGAGAAAGCTTCCTGGAGAGGTCGCGAAACGTTTTAAAATCTTGGAAACCCAAGTCCAGTGGATTTTTTTATTTTTTATCTTAAGGAATTTTTGGCATTCGTTTTATTTTGATGATCTGGGGGGAAAAAATGGAAGAATGAAAGTTCCCATCCTTGCATCAGAGCGCCACCTGTTCGATCTGTGAAAGGTTTTCCCTGCTTGCGACAAAACTAGCAGCATGTAGTTCAGTTTGGATATGCAATCCACTTCTTAAATCTCTCTTTGCTCTCCTGTAGTTTATTCAGAAGTTCTGCAATCTCCCTTTTTCGTTCTCTCAACATTGTGATAGGCTGAATATTTGGCATGCCTTTCCAAATTACTCTTTTTTTATGTAATGACAACTTGTCATTACAAAGCAAACATGCTGGCAATCCTTATGTATTGGTAATGAAAGCAGTGATTTGATCCCTTCTTCTTTAAATCATCTGCTCTCATCAACTATCTTCCTTTTTTTCCATTTGGGAAAATCGCCAATTTGTCTACAACAGCCACCTGCCTGGCACTGCGCTGCGCTGAAACGTGTGCCAGGATATGACGCATTTTACATTTATATTTTAAATTTAAACAATATAATTTTTTCCATTTTCATGCATACTTCAAAAAGCTCCAGGGAGCCAAAAAGAGTGGCGCTAAAGAATCCTATGACCAACATCGAAGGTTCAAAACAATAAATGAAAATGTTTGATTCATAATGAATTGATTCAGCCTTCCTGTTATCTATTGAAAGTCTTTCTCTCTATAGCTTTTAAAAGCAGACATTCCTTAGCTCCTTAGAGGAAAATGTTTCTTTAAAATGGCATTGATGGTTTGTTCAGCCCCAGAGGGACTATGACTAATAGAGAAATAGTAAAAAAACACTGTTATTTTTTAACCTTTAATGCTAAGTTCTTTTTTTTTTTCTACTAATCTGCCCTGCTGCAATGCTGACTGTCATAAAAACACAGTAGATTAAGCTGCAGGGGAAAATGGACTAAAAGTCAGTTTTTTTCTGCAGAACCATTTTCCTGCCAGCAACAAAGACCGCCTGCAAGATTTGAAATCAACAGTGGACCTTCTGACCAGCATCACATTCTTCAGGATGAAGGTAACCAACGATATTTGTGACATTTTCATGCTTTAGATCAGTGCTCTGCAACTTTTCAAGTCCAATAAGACATTTTAATCTGAGCTCAGCCAAATAAAAAATATTACATGGACTTAGACTCAACTGTATTAATCCCTTTGGGATTACTCCTTCAGGGAAATTCTGGTTCCAGTAGCTGATATAGAGTTCAAAGAATTAAAGCAAGATGCCATTAATGATACGACAGACACTATAAAAAGACTGCATAGAGTACAAAAAAGCATAAAAAAAAAAAAAATGTAATATCTTGGAATATCTTTTCCTTAGATATAAAAATATCTGCACAGTAGAGCTAAGGGAAGAATGCACAGTAGTTGACTTGGATTATTGACTCGTACTGCAGAGATGTACTGACCATATAAATAAGTAAAAAATTACACAGGCTATACAGTAGTTGGCATGTGTTACTGCACAGTGAGAGAGAAAAATATTGCCTGAGAAGCAATAGGTAATGTTTTGCATAAGATGTCCAAGGAGGGAGGTGCTGACCCTTGTCCCTCTTCACCTCCTCCTTCCCCCAAGTGAGGCTGTTGGGCCTGCATTTGGAGAGGAGCAACCTCCCACTGATTAGGCTCCTCTGAGTGGCGAAGACGGTTCAGAGGGTGGATGTCATTGGAAAACACAAGTTATTCTTTTAGTTAAATATGAAGGAAATCTGTTGACATTTTAAACAACGACGAGTTTATTGTTCTTTCTAGTTTTTAACCCTTTCAAACAAACTGTATCATATTAGAGTTTTTGAGACCTCTACATCATCAGTGTGATATTTCTGTTCTTGAAAAACCAAAAACTTGTTAAACCATTTACACATAGAGAGCAAATGAATCCATAAAAACTGTGGTGATGCCTAATTTATCAAAGTCATAAAAAGAGTTAACCCTTTCAAGCGCAAACCCTGACATTAACTAGAAAAACGGTCTAAGAGAGCAGATCTCCACCAAGCGGAACATTTTAGCCCAAACTGTGACCTAACTACACCTGTAGCTGAAACTCACACATGATCTGGATCATTACCACATTTTAGAAATTGTTCCTTAGCATGAGGGGAACATTTGAAAACAATTTCCTTAAAATCCTTTTATAAGTTCATAAATAATGCAAAGTGTGTCTGCAGCCTCTGGTGTTTGTTCTGCTCTCACCTTCATTCACTCTGCTTTCTTGTTTGATCAGCAGACTTCGAGCGAAGCATGGCTCACCTTTCCTCTATTTTTTCCATCAATATAGGACTTCTGGACTTTTTTAGTCCAATGATGAAGCTACTAAATTGGCAGCTGGTTTCTATGGTTTTTTGGGGGTGCTTGTTCCACCAAAAAATGTTAAAAGAATCCTTTAAAAACTCCTGAATCAGGATTGACAGTGATCATCACCAACTTTTAAAGGATTGTTCCTTTGACTGAGGTGCAGCTATGGTACAAAAAACGCACAAACTAGACCAAAAAAAATCACCTCCTTGGCTGAAAAAATGATAGAAAATTTGACAAATGAAAAAAAAACAAAAACAAATTTTTGAATAATTTTAATTTGAACTCATTTTAAAGGACAAAATGTAAGAAAAGAAACCGCAGGGATGTAACCAGTGCGCTTTCACTTACTCCTGTATTGAATATGCAGAAGAGCGCACTAGTCCCCCTAGTGGACTCTTTTGATAATCGCGCCAACACACCCTCTTCCAGACAAAGGACCCAAGTCATTCCTTCCACACCCCAAACCAAACTTAATTAATACAGATGATCAAAAGAATTAGATTCAATATTATCAGGATCAAGTGAGTATTATACCCTGCAACACTCGCTGGAAACATTACTGGTTCCGTCCCAATAGAGGAACCAGTAAAAACGCATGCCTGCCGAAAACTGCATCCTGTCACGGGAACGCCCATCGCCCTAAGCTCTTTATCATTGATGAGAAAATGGATTGAAATATGAATTAAAAAAAAATACTTTTAAACATATTATTAATGTTTTCATGTTTCTTATGCATGGATCCCCTATAATTTAGAGTTTAAATTAGTTAAAGTTGTGGACTTTAAATTGGAAACAAAACTAAAGTTCGTAAATTCAGTTCAGTAGTTGTTAAAAATAGTTTTTTTTTGCGTTTTTAGTTTTCTTCCTATTAAAAATGTTTTCAAAATTGGAAACATTTCTACTGGGACAGAAGCTAATGGTTTATGTTAAAATAAACATTTGGGTAAATTAGGTTGACCAGACATCCTCTTTTTCCCAGACGTGTCCTACTTTTCATGCGTAAAAAAATTGTCCGTGAGCTCTGGGCTGGTCCGGGAACCCCAGCAGACGGGGGCAGGGAGCCAGCGGGGGACGGAGCGACCAAACCCGACCCGGTGATGGTAGCCTAGACAACGGCGGCCGCGTGCTTCCCCCCATCTGCCTGATGGGCAGCATACCGCCACCGGGTCAGGTTCGTTCGCTCAATCCCGGACCAGCCCCCGGAGCTGATGGCTCGGTTCGAATGCTCGATCCAAAGTTTGCTCCTTTTCAAAAACCCAAATCTGGTCACCCTCGGTAAATATTTCACTACCAGGTTTTTCTCGTGTTTATTGTGAAGTTGGTCTTGGCTTGTTTAATCAAGTGGCTTAAAAAGTCTTAAATTGAACTTGCCTCGTGCTGTAGAAACCCTGATTAAAGCTGCTGAACCGATCCTGATATTATTTTTTAATAAAGTAATATTTTAAATGTGCTATTTTGTTTCTGCTGCTATATTTGTCTAAAACACGCCTGACATGTTTGGGCTGCTGGCAGCTCGTCGAAACATGTCGGTTATGTTTCAGACATAGTTTTCTGTTTTCAAAACAAAAAAGATGCATCTGATAATAGAATTTGATTTGCCATTTAGAGGAAAACAGGAAATAAATCACCCAGGATGTGTGAGCGGAGCTTATGTAAAGTTTTGCTGCCTCCATCTGTCTGGCGCTCAGGTCCAGGAGTTGCAGTCTCCACCCAGAGCCAGTCAGGTTGTGAGGGACTGCGTCAAAGCCTGTCTCAACTCCACCTATGACTACATCTTCAATAACTGCCATGAACTGTACAACAGACAGTACCAGCCTGCAGACGCAGTGAGTCCAACATAAATTCACCAGTTTTATTGGGCAATCTTCCTTTTTTATTAACGTATTCCTACTTTATTTACTGCTGTTTTGATTTGTTAAATTTTTGCTGTTTTATTGCTTTAATCCAGAATAAGGAGGAGCTCCCCCTGGAGGAGCAGGGCCCCAGTATCAAGAACCTGGACTTCTGGCCCAAACTCATCATGCTTATCGTCTCCATCATCGAGGAAGACAGGAACTCCTACACGCCTGTGCTTAACCAGTCAGTCATCTGTTTAAACACATTTTTGAAATCTCACCTGAATTCAGAGTAAAACTGGATTATTTTTAATCTGCTCTGCAGGTTTCCGCAGGAGCTGAATGTTGGAAAGGTTTCAGCGGAAGTCATGTGGATGCTGTTCGCTCAGGACATGAAATACGCTTTGGAAGGTCGGCTTAATTCACATTTCTGTCCCTGATTCTTTCTCTTTTATATCCTTCTTCCTCCACAGTTATCTTAAAAAAAAAAAAAAAACATGGAATTATGCAGATTTAATCCCCAAATTCACAACTTCTGAGGGATAGAATAAGATAAAACTAATCCAATTAAAGTGAAATTTATTTAAAATTCAATTATTTCACAATTCTGGCAATAGTTAAGTTTATTCTGACCTTAAAAAGGAAATGAAATGAAATTTGATTTATTTTCATTTGGACTGCAATTCATTTTTAATGCAGATTATGAGAATATTTAGCTTCTCTATTATACAGAATGTTATGGATGCAGGAATGTTATGAATTCAGGAAATGCATGTAAGTATTTAATGATGTGTTATTGTCAGATATTATGGGAAACACTAGATAATCTTTAACCATAGAGTCCTAAAAAAAGCACAAACTTCAACTATCTGCTGTTTTTATATGAGCTGAGATAGCTGTCAATAAAAGAGCATGTGTAGGTGTCCGTGTTAAAAGCCATGACCTTTCAGCTACATACTGGGATTCTGTAACGTTAATAAGTGACAATGTTTAACTGTTTATTACCAAACAGACAGTATCTAAAAAAAAAAAAAAAGTACTTTATTTTTTCACGTTTTTCACTCAGAAAATTAGCTTTATTTGGGAAAAGGTTCGACAAAGTTAGTTTATTTATGTAGCACATTTCAGTAACAAGATAATCCAAAGTTCTGTACATAAGAAAAGTAACCTGCAGTGACATAAAGGTAATAAACTATTTAATGACCACATTAATAATCCGCTGCCATCAGACTGTTGATCTCTAAACTGGACTCTGCATCACGTTATTTTGCACCACTAATGCTGCTGATCTTTTATAATCCTTTTAAATAGAACACAACTCAATATTCTACTGCTTTCTGCACCATATTTATTTTGCACTGCACTAAAATTTTATATATTAATGCCCATTAGCACCATTATTTAAACTGGTTTCGTTTTTCTCCTACTTTGTTACATTCTGGTCACTACTGCACTTAATATTGGTAATGTTTATTTCACTCCAACTGCAATATCATTACACTGTTGCAAACTATATGCAACGAAATTTCGTTTTGTATACGTTCTGTGCATACAAAATGACAATTAAGTCTAATAATTAAATAAATAATGAAACCGCTATAAAAAAAAATATTGACATAGGGATTAATAAAAAAGAGAAAAAAAAGTTGAACATTAGAACTTAATGTTTAGATACGACAGGCAGAAATAAATAGCGGCGAATAAATAACTAGGGTGAAAAAATACAAAGGAAGAATAAAACAGACAAAAATATTATAACATGCACATAAATAAATACTTAAAAATATAAGTAATTAGAAAATAAAGTTGAAGTTTATAAAGGACAAAAAAATAAATAAGGTAAATATTACAAAGGCAAATAAATAAAGAAGCTAATTAAAAGAGTTTTATACATTTATGTCTCACTGTATAATTTAATTTCCACTTACATTTATTTCTTTATTGGTGGCAATTAATTGTATGCTTATTTATTTATTGAGCATTTATTTATTTATGAATTTATTTTTAAATATGGCAGAGTTGGTCCTCCATAACAGTCGGGTTGAACAGTGTCATAATCTGTTAAATAAAACGCTGCTGTCATTTTGCACATCTCTGATGTTGCTGCTATTTTCAAATATCCATTAACGTAAAATGTCCACAGCTGGATAGGGATGCACGATATAATCGGCCCTCTATCGGTATCGGCCTGTATCGGCCTTAAAACTGAATATCGGACATCGGCCACCCCACCGATATTTAACCCGATATTTGATCAGCTTCTGAGTTTCTAAAGTCTAAAAAAAAAAAAAAAAAAATACTACTTCTTCTTCTTCCTCAAAAATTTCTTTTTTACAGACTTAAAAACTTCTAAAGACGAGGGAAAAAATATTGATACATTAAAATATCACAATATCTTCATATGCTGATATATTGCCATTTAAAAACACCATATCAATCTCTTTTACTAATGAAATATTGCTATATGTCATCGTTATGCTACGAAATCCCCCGAAAATTCACCAAATGTTGCCATATTTTTATATGTTGATATATTGACGCGGTATCGATCTATTTTACTAACAAAATCTCACAAGAATTTGCAAAATATCACGAGAGTTTGTAACAGAACGATGAAATTTCACGAGATTTTGAAAGTAAAATAGATCGATACCGCGTTTTTAAAAATCTATTTGATATCAGCATATGAAAATATATTTGAGTATATTATTTTTCAAAGTGTCAGAAATGGATAACAAAACTGCTATTTTCAATGACTACTTATTTTTGTCCAGCTTTAACATCGGTATCGATATCGGTTATCGGCTACATGAGTTTTAAAATATCGGCATATCGGATATCGGCCAAAATCCCAATATCGTGCATCCCTACAGCTGGATATTGGTTATTTATTCTCCGGGTGCACAGTTTATATTGTTAAAACACTTTGCAGTACAGTATTTTATTGTTAATCGTTTAACTCTTCACTGTTATGTTATTCTTATACATTTTTCGAAGGTCCATATTTGTGTCACCATTTTTTCTATAATCTTTTATCTGCTGTAACAGCAGAATTTTCCCCCATTGTGGGAGAATAAAGGAATTTTCTATTCTATTCTATTCTGATAGCAGCTCTACCCTCACATATGTTCTACTTTTCATTTGATTAAACCTTTTTTCAACATCCCACAGTATTAAGTACCGTATTTTTACGACCATAAGGCGCACCGTACTAAAAGGCGCAGTCTCAGTTATGTGTGCCATTTCTGTATTTAACACACACATAAGGTGCACCGGATTATAGGGCGCGGGTTTTATATACCGGTACATATCCTCTACTACGTTTAAATACCTCTACTGCGTATTTAAAATTAGAGCAGGAGCAAAACTGAGTATGATTGTGCTTTATTCATGTATTTATTACAAAGTATTAATCAAACCCATCAAAGTCATCATCCTCTGTTTCTGAATTAAACAGCTGCGCTAAATCAGACATGCAAATTTCCCCTTCTTCGCTGTCAGAGTCACTTTCCGTGCCGGGCGGCTCCTCGGAAATGATGCCGGCTTTTGCGAAAGCTGGAACAACAGAGCCAGCAGACACGTTAGACCAAGCATCTACAATCCATCCGCAAACTGTGGCGTAACTTGCCCGGCGCTGCCTTCCACTTTTCGTGAAACTGTGGTCTCCGTCTGTCATCCATCGCTCCCACGCCGCTCTCAGCCTTACTTTGAACGGCCGCTTCACACCGATGTCGAGCGGTTGAAGTTCCTTTGTCAGACCCCCGGGATAACAGCAAGCAAGCGTTCATTTGTTTCACCTTGTTTTTCACATCGGCTGTGAGATGGGCACGCATGGAGTCTCAGATTAACAGCGATGGTGATGCGTGGAAAAAAACCACCTGGTCTCCTCACATTCACCTCCCTCAGCCACTCTTTCATCATCTCCTCATCCATCCAGCCCTTTTCATTTGCCAAGCACAACAGTAAACGACGCCTTTTCATACCCCGTTGTGTGTATCGCTACAGTGCTGGTCCCCTTCTTCTCCTCCGTGTGATTCATCGGGATGTCGAAAGTGAGCGGCATCTCGTCCATGTTGGTTATGTGGCTTGGCTGGATGCGTTTGTCAGTCCATGGCCACACTTCCCCCTTTAACGTTCTCATGGTGGTCTCAACAACGTCCGTAGAAACAACACACATAGGGCGCACCGCACTATAGGGCCTTGTATGATTCATCCTGATATCACATCTGGTCAAGACTCAAAGCTACAGCGTCGGTGTCTCATTGGAAATGAAAAACTTTGATCAGGGTATCGCTAATAAGTTTATATTGAATTTGTTAAACTGTGAAGCTAAAAAAAATAGTCTTAATGATTTCTACACATCGTTTGAATTCTCATCATTTAGCCTGCATACATCTGATGAGCGTTAATTAGCAGATATTCTATCAGTTCTTTGGGGTTTAAACATGTTTTAATCCATTAAATGTATAATTCTAATTAAAATGACTGATTTATGAATGTTTTGTTCATTTTCTTTGCAGAGCATGAGAAGCACCGACTGTGTAAAAGCACAGACTACATGAATCTACACTTTAAAGTCAAGTGGCTCTACAATGAATACGTCAAGGAGCTTTCAACCTTTAAGAGCGTCATTCCTGAATACCCATCGTAAGCGCTAAAACCTTATTAAAGGAAAGACCTATGACAGATATTTATTCTGGGTATGGTGTGGATTTAAGGTGTTTTTCCTGTTTTAGTTGGTTTGTGCAGTTCGTTCTGCAGTGGTTGGATGAAAACGAGGACGTGTCGATGGAATTCATGCATGGAGCCCTGGAGAGAGACAAGAAAGACGGAGTAAGGCTGATTTAACGAGGCGTTCCTGTTTGGTTCGTGCATATTCAGGCAGTTTGGTGGAAAAAAAAAACACAGTAGTATTGTTATTTTACTTTTATTGAGTCAAAATGAGAAAAAGGATAACAAACCATTACCATGTTGTTTAGAACTATTAGAAATTGAAACAACAAATTATAACTCTTAAGTGTTATTATTTTTTAAATAAGAAAGTGACCTGATTCTGGAAATTTCTCTTGGCCACAAAAACTGAAGGCGAGAAAAAAATATTCTATTGCAGAGCTTCATTTTATTCTGTGGGTGGATATGAAAAGCTAAGAGTCTGCATCCGAAGATGCACAGATGTCATATGACAACGGTTGCCACGGAGACCAGGGTGAAACACATTACCTTGGGTTTTAGCAAGCCGGCCATCAGCATGATTAGAACTTTTTATTGGATTGTTTGTGGTTTTTAAACCTCATGTAGAACAGAATATGAAGTAAAAATTAATTTAATGCTGATTTGGGTCTGTGAACATCATAAAGCGTAAGTATGGGAGCGATATTGTTGCAAAATTATTGGCAAATGTGTGTAAAGAGTTGTGTGTCTGTATCTAGATTTGTGTGTGTGCAGTGGGATTTGAAAATACGTGAAATTTGTCTGTATAAGTATCTGCAAATGTGTAAAATAAAAATCATAACTCTGTATTAAGATCTACAAATGTGTAGATCAGTCTGTAAACAATTTGACTGTATGATCTGGTGAAAAAGTGCCTCGAGAGGACTTGTTGTGAATTAGAGCTATAGAAATGAACTGAATTGAAAAAGTTATTAAAAAATGTCCCAATTTAGAAACAACTCAGCAGTATGGGATGTGCAGAGAACAAGAACTTTGTGAACTCGAAGACTGCCTCTGAAATGTGCGGTGAATTGCTGCTTGAATACGCATTTGAAGCCTGATATTCAAGCTCAGCTGAATTTGCGTCACCTGACTCCCGCTCAGATATCGGCCAATCGCTCTCTGCTGCTCCCTCTTCTCATGGGCAGTGGTTCACTTATGGAAGCCTGCGAGCCTGTGCTCAGGGCAGCAAATCAAGATATTACACATTTGAATCCTCTCTATGCATTTGCAGAAATGTAGCAAAAACCACGTGTGTAAAGAGAGCCAACTGAGAAAGGGCTTGACTTCTAACCAATGATTTGTCTGTTCTTCTGAGTGTTGAAGCGAAAATCCTTCAGAATTAAGTGACTCTCTTGGTTTACAGACTGATCTACACATTTGTAGATCTTAGTACACATTTGTAAATCGCAATAGACATTTGCAGATTCTTGTACAGACAGACAAATCTCCTTACACATTTGCAAATAATTTTGCAACAATATTGCCCCCATATGTATGCAGCGAAGAGAGAACTGCAGGGTCAGGCTGTTTGTCAAAAATATAATTGAAACTGAACCCTTTAACGCATAAAAAAAAAAAAAATCAGAAATTGGATAATGGTTTGTTTCCTGGTTTGGGGTGAAAGAACAAAAATATTTTTTGGCTGCTCACAAACTGCCTGAATTTACAGGGACCCTCTTTCCTCGAACACAACCTTGGCTTTCTAAACATGTCGACATCTTTTTGGTTTTCCTACCTCCTCATTTTTGTGCGTGCCCTCCTCTCAGTTCCAGCAGACGTCTGAGCATGCTCTGTTCTCCTGCTCGGTGGTGGACATCTTCACCCAGCTCAACCAGAGCTTTGAGATCATCAAGAAACTGGAATGCCCCGATCCCAACGTCATGGCTCAGTACAGCCGCCGCTTCTCCAAGGTAACCAGTGCACCACTTTCTTCCATGTTATTGAAGCACAGCTTTTTGTGTGAAAGTTTATCTGCTGGAGAATCTCTATTATCTTTTTAATATTCAACTTCTTCTAATGGATTTACTCTGTTTTTTTTCTCCTTTGTAAATAAGAAATACTTTTTTCTCCAATGATTTCACCACATTATGAAAACAAACTATAGTATTCAAAGTAAAAGGAAACATTTTTTTTTATCTTATTATATCCAGTATTTATTCAGTTAAAAGTATTGATACAATTTAAATTTCTTTCTTTTTTTAACTGAAAATTTGCCTCAGATGATAAAAAATATGTCAAATAAAATATAAAACATTACAGCAGAAATCTACGGAAGAGGATTAGGGCCACTGGAAAAAAAAAAAAAAAAGTTTACCGATTTTAAAATTTTATTTTAACTTAATATGGGAAAAAAGTCAGAATTTTGACTTTTTTCTCAGAATTCTGACTTTAATCTCAGAATTCTGACTTTAATCTCAGAATTATGAATTTTTTTCAGAATTCTGACTTTAATCTCAGAATTCTGACTTTAATCTCAGAATTGTGGATCTTAATGTAGATGGGCACCATGAAGGAAGAGATGTGGAGCACTCAGCTTCACTGACAAAGATGTGAGTTGTTTGAGGTGGCCAGTGACACATTGGTGGAAAATGACGGAATTAGGCAACTTTTTACGTGGCCGAGGGGTCCCCTCATTAATGGAGGAGCAGAAGGTCATTAAAACAAGAGAGCTAGTCTCTAAAACAGACATGGCTACGGCTTGATGCTAACATGTTTGTTAGCTGTCAGAATTCTGAGAAAAAAGTCAGAATTCTGACTTTAATCTTAGAATTCTGACTTTTTTCCCATACTAAACTGAAATAAAATTTAAAAATCAGTTTACTTTTTTTTGTTTTTCAGTGGCCCTAATCCTCTTCCGTAGAAATCAGATGTTTACAATAATAATACAATAATAATATAAAAATGATTATTTTTACATCAAGTCATAACAAGGATAGACGGAGAGGATCCAATAAGGATCAGATCATCACCTTTAAATGGTTAAAGGAACCGATTAGAAGTTTAAATTGCTACCTCCGAATCATTTATACAAGCAACAACTATTTGTATAGTAGATTATACATTATTTCCTGCTTTTTTCATGAAGAATTAAGACTTGGTTTTCCTTTTAACTATTAATCTAGACAACTAAACGTTATCTCCATAAAAATACAAAGAATTATTTATAACATTGATCAAGATTAGTTTTTACAGCTGAGAGCTGGATATATTGCTGTGGAAAGAAACGGGGAAAGTTATCCACCCTAGTGGTCACACTTAAAAAATCAAACCAATAATGATTTAGTTTGTTTGTAAAAGCAGAAGAGCTTTAGTGTCGTTCAAAACCTCATCACCAGCTACATTTACTTTTTTTTATTTTCTAGGTCTTGTTTTATTATTTAAATGAATCTGTGTTGAACGATCTTTAATCTGCTGTACACACAGGACAGCCTCATCAGAAGGAAACTGCTTTATGACTTCTTGCTTTTTTTTTTGCAGACTATCGCCAAAGTTCTCCTGCAGTATAGTGCCATCCTTACCAAGAGTTTTCCTTCATATATTGACAAAGAGAAAATTGTAAGTTGTTCTGTTTTAGGTAACAAGACTTTCAATTAGTAACGTTTACGAATATTTATGCATAATTAAAGTTGGACAATATTTGAATATCACTATATATCACAATATAATTGAATTCAATAATGGTTTTATAATTCAATTCAGTTCAGTTTATTTCTATGGCGCCAATTCACAACACGTCATCTGAAGGCACTTTGCAGTTTACATATGTAATGTATCTGAAAAAGAAAAGCCCTACTTTATTGTTACAGGACGTTACTATAGTAACAAAGATGTAGGCGAAACAGAGCTGTACTTTACAACTTTTCAGTTATTGTGAAGTTGTAGTTGATTTTTATTAAGCTTTTATTCCTGATTTTTTATTCTGTTAAAGTTTTTCATATATTTTGGAAAATGCTTAGTTTCAGTTTGGTTGTCATTAGCCTTAGTTATTATTTACTTAGCTTTAGTCTCTTATGTATTACGACTCGCATGACGGGAAAAACAAAAAAAAAAAGAAAATCCTAAAAAGCACAGAGGTCAATTCTATAGCGCCAATTCACAACACGTCATCTCAAAGCACTTTACAGTTCAACCAGATCATCCAGTCAGATTGATTCAAAGATTTCAATGTAAGGAAAACCAGTTGATTGCATCGACTCATTGACTCATTGACAAAGGTAATCCCTCACACTAAGCATGCATGTAGCGACAGTGGAGAGGAAAAACTCCCTTTTAACAGGAAGAAACCTCCAGCAGAATGAACAGTATATGGCATTAATTAACTCTGTTTAAGGAAAATCATCAAGATGCTTTCAGAGTATTATTAAAACCAGTTGAAAGTTTTCTATCTAAGGAAAACCAGTTGATTGCATCGACTCATTGACTCGAAGGCAATCCCTCACACTAAGCATGCTTGTAGCGACAGACAAATCTATTTGAGTACAGTAACGAAGTATTTGTACTTCGTTACTTCCCATCTCTGAGGAGGAGACAGGAGCAGAGCGAGGAGAGCAGCCAACTGTCCCTACCACACCGTGGCCTTATCTTCAGAGATTATGAAACTTGTTGAATCCTCAGATAAAAAAATAAGTGTACAGATGTCTGCTTTGCAATAAAAAAAAAAAAAAAAACAGTTGTCAACGTCCAGGACATCCAACTCACATTCAGGTGAAGCACTAATTTCCCTCCTGCAGTATGCAAGGAGGGAAATAAGAGTTTAAAGGAATAGTACACCCAAAACATGATTAGCCTTCATTTTCTACTCACCCCCATGCTGAACAACACTCTGGAGTACTTTTTTGATATCTCAAATGCATCTGGAGATCTGGGAGGCTTCTTGCTGTCTGCTGACATTCAAATAATGGAGGTCTAAGGCGCCCGAGGCAGAAAGGTCCATAAAAGTCCACAAAAAACGTGTCAATATTCCTCCATACTGCTCGTCCAATGTATTCCAAGTGACCTGAGTGGGTAGCATCCAGAATTAACTCGAAACGAAGTCATTTAGAATGTTTTTAGAGCATAAACAGTAGTGTATAGGATTTCCTAAAAGCGCGCGCCTGCGAGTTCACGAGTCTACGGAAACTGCGGCAGACCAAACCAGACGAAAGTGCGCATTCAGCTCGGCAAAGAACTCATGCTCTTCCTCAACACTGAAGTCCTCAGACATTTTTCTTTCGTTGTTTCTTTCTTTGCACAGGTAAACAGCACATTTCTTCTTCTACGCTTGCATTATTGGCAGAGCAGACGCTGAATGCGCACTTTCGTCTGGTTTGGTCTGCCGGCTTCCGTAGCGTCATGAACGCGCAGGTGCGCGCTTTCAGGAAATCCTATACACTACTGTTCATGCTCTTAAACACATTCTAAATGACTTCGTTTCGAGTAAATTCTGGATGCTACCCACTCAGGACACTTGGAATACATTGGACGAGCAGTATGGAGGAATATTGACATGTTTTTTTGTGGACTTTTATGGACCTTTCTGCCTCGGGCGCCATGGACCTCCATTATTTGAATGTCAGCAGACAGCAAGAAGCCTCCCAGATCTCCAGATGCATTTGAGATATCAAAAAAGTACTCCAGAGTGTTGTTCAGCATGGGGGTGAGTAGAAAATGAAGGCTAATCATGTTTTGGGTGTACTATTCCTTTAATAAGGTGACCGCTGTTGGAAAGAAGTGGTTTCTGAACCTGCTTGTGTTAGTCTGCAAACTGCGTAAATAGTAGAGCCTGGGGGAGGAACAGAAAAGAGTATGGCCTGATGAGAGGAGTCTGAGAAAATCTTCCATGCCTGGTGCTGGCATCTCTTCTTATGGACATCCTGTGATCGCCTGTCAGCAGTTCCCTCTTAGCTTAGTGCTTTTTTTATGGTTCACATTCAGTTCTCAAAAATTAAATGTTGAACATGGGTCAATACTCATTAAAACCTTAAAGTAATCAAAAAGTAATTAGTTACATTACTTTTTAAAAGTAATCGAAAATGTTACACTACGATTAGATTTTAAAAAAGGTAACTTGTAACTGTAACGGATTACATTTTTAAAGTAACTTACCCAACACTGCTGATTATGAATCAATTAATTGAAAAAATAATCGAAACATTGGCAAAAGAATTTTTTTTTAACATTGATAGTGATGAAGACATATATTGTGCTCATTAATGAAGGTCTTCTGTGTGTTTTCCTCATGTTCTCCTGCAGCCTTGTGTCCTCATGAATAACGTGCAGCAGCTGAGAATCCAGCTGGAGAAAATGTTTGAATCAATGGGTGCCAAACAGGTGAGTGTGAACACGAAAGGTTAACAGGTACGCGTCGTAGCTCAGAGTGTTGGGAGTATTAAAGGAATAGTACACCCAAAACATGATTAGCCTTCATTTTCTACTCACCCCCATGCTGAACAACACTCTGGAGTACTTTTTTGATATCTCAAATGCATCTGGAGATCTGGGAGGCTTCTTGCTGTCTGCTGATATTCAAATAATGGAGGTGCCCAGCGCCCGAGGCAGAAAGGTCCATAAAAGTCCACAAAAAACGTGTCAATATTCCTCCATACTGCTCGTCCAATGTATTCCAAGTTTCCTGAGTGGGTAGCATCCAGAATTTACTTGAAACGAAGTCATTTAGAATGTTTTTAGAGCAAAAACAGTAGTGTATAGGATTTCCTGAAAGCGCGCACCTGCGCGTTCATGACGCTACGGAAGCCGGCAGACCAAACCAGACGAAAGTGCGCATTCAGCGTCTGCTCTGCCAATAATGCAAGCGTAGAAGAAGAAATGTGCTGTTTACCTGTGCAAAGAAAGAAACAACGAAAGAAAAATGTCTGAGGACTTCAGTGTTGAGGAAGAGCATGGGGCCGTAATCAGAATTCAATTTAGGGATCCTGCCATCAACAATCTGTAATCGGATGATTCACACCTCCTATAAACTCATTGCAGTTCGGGCGATGCTGTTTACAAGCTTCTATTTGTTCGAGCATTCAGATAGATTCATGTGATTTATGTTTTTTGGCTGATGCACATGCATGCATATTTTCTGACTGTCAGATAAATCAGCCTCAGTGAGTTAACTGTAACTTGTTACAGGCGCTTTTCTGATTGGGACGACCTTAACCCTTTAAAGCCCGATCCAAGAATAAAACAAAACAGAAAATTACTTTTTTTTGGTTTGAATTCCTTTTTTGCCCTTTTAACAAAATACGTGAAAAGAAAAAACAGAAATACATTTTTGATATTAATAATTTGGCTGTTATCACGTATATCTGATTGTGTACAATAGGATTTTGAACAAAGTTTTTACCAATAAATTATGCAAAAGGTGTCAGACGCAAAACATTTCAGAAACCGTATGTATCAAATACGATACATTTGGCATTATAGGGTTAACACCTTTTTTCCCCCTATTGGCCCATGCAGCCAAACAGGACTAATAGACACTGGTTGGAAAAAAAACCATTAAAATTGTTATTGATTTAACATCTTCTAATTTAGAAATTAACTTAAAAATATATTTCACATTTACTGTAAATCCTCTAATATTGTCCTGTATTCCATTAGCGGATGGGTCTCTAATAATGGCCTTTCTCGCTGTCGGCTGAACCAATGATTTTCCTAGGCAGTCCTCAACAACTTGTGATAGTAACATACGAGTACCACAGGGGGGCAGTGTTTGCTAACAAATCCAAGCCATTAACATGGGAAGTCCCGTCCTTACACAGAGATCGTAGTGGCCTTACACAATAATTCCGATCTGAAAGACATGTGATTACCGGTAGGTCTGGTAGTAACCAGGCAGCGTTAAAATGACAGAATTTCGTTGGCCTTCATTGTTCTGAATTTCCCTTGAAATATATGATACTGGTAGCCTACTTCCACTTAGCCTGCCTCAAAAAAAATTTTGCTCTGATGGCAGAACAGTTTCCATTAATTTCTTTTTAAAACTTTGTTTCCCAAGCCAAGATTCCATTCTGTGTCTTTTTTTTTTTTCGTTTTGCCGTGCAGAAAAATCGCAGCTGCTGGAAGATGTCTGAATAATGTTCTGTATACCGTTATGGTAACTGTGCTTTTTCAATAAATGAACCTAGTATTTTATAGGTTCAAAGAGACACAAAATCGCATTTTATTAATTCCACTGGTAGTCTGTTTTGATCAATTAGAAATAGAGGCCTGCCTCTAATTCTGGCCTCCTTCCAATAATGGCCTGGAACAAGATGTACCCGATTAAAATAAAGGCCCAGTCCTATATTAGAGGATTTACGGTAGTAAGATTTAACAATCTAAATTAAATGTCCTTGTTTTAATCTACTTTTTTTTTTTTTTTATAAAATCCCCAAAATAATAATTATTTTGATTTATGGATGTAAAACTAAGTAAAAGGAGCTCTTTTTTGTCTGATAATACTTTATTCAGTTTTATTCAGACCTTTGTTCGTGAGGCTTTTGTGTGAGGCAGAGGATGGAAGAGGTGATTGGCTGTTTTATAATAAGCTCCTTGGAGAGCGAGCATTTCCAGTGAAGGATAAAGATTTAACCGTTTAAGAAATGGGGATAATCTAACCTGGAGATCCATATATTTATTTTATTTTTGCATCTTTTTGTTACATAGTTTCATAAATTAGCTGTATATCCAAAGTACTAATAAAAGTGTTAGTAGTTATGTCAGGCAAAAGTCCGAGGAGGGTCTAGAAGCTAAATTTACTTTGATAAAATTGATGCCTTTTCTGGCAGAGGATGGAGAACGACTTTCTTACCTTTTCTCTGCTTTCCTAGCTGAATATCAGTGCCCTAGACTGGCAGGCAAGTCCTCCACATATGCAACCATGTTGTCTAAAACATGACTGCATATCAGATTGTGTTGATGTCATTTCTAGTTAATCATACAAAATCAAACATTTGTGCTGTGTTGTTTCTTCACTGCAACTCTTAGTTTGTAGAGAATGAAGAAGAGGAGGATTTAATAGAGGAAGGGGAGAAAATGGAGATTTGTTGCAGTTCGAAGTGGTTTTTCTCATCCTTCATTCTCCGAATCGTTTCCCTAAAGTTCTCACCTCCAGCATCTTCCGAGCAAAACTTAAACCAATCCTAAACTTTTTACATGGTGGAGTTTTTCTTGTGTCTGATTGGTTTTATTCCCATCTGTGAGGATCTCCTGTAGTTTAGCAACATTTCCCTTAATTTTCTGTAAAACTGTTTTTTCACTCCCCTTCAGTCGTTACTCTTGTGATTTGCATTTAATCTCCTTTTTTTTCTTTTTCATCATTTGCAATAGGCTGAGAAGGATGAGGTGGGTTTTAGCATTAAATGTCATTTAGTTTTTGAGGTTTATTCACTTAAAATAGCTTAATTATTACAACTGAGAATTAGGACCATACTAGTGGAATGATATTGTTTTAATTTAAAAAATAAAATTGTAATATTAGGAGAATAAAGTCACAATATTAGGTCTACGGTATTAAAGTTGTAAGATTATGAGAATTAAGTCATAATATTATAAAACTAAATTGTAAGATTAGGAGATTAAAGTTGTTAAATTAAAACAATGAAATTCTTAGAATACGAGATTAAAGTCATTATATTACAAAATAACAGTGTAACATGAGACAAAAGTTTTAACCTAGAACTAATAAAATCACAACAATACAACGTTAAAATCATAGTGTTACAAGATTAAAGTCAGAACATCATGAGAAGTTGTAAAAATTAAAACAAAAAATTTTGGAAAAATAAAAATTGGCATTTGGAGATTAAAGACGTGACAATATAAGATCAAAGATTTAGCATTACAATAATCAAGTTTTGATATTGCAAGAATAAATATGTATAACATATGACAAGAACTATGCAAATAAAATCTTAATAATGCGAGGATGAAATTCTAATATTACAAGCAAAAAGTTGTAACCAGAAATGAAAGAGAACAATATTTAAAAAAAATACTTTTTGACATTTTGAGACTAAAGTAATAAAAATACAAGATGTTGTCGGATTACTATGTTAAATTCATGCTATTACAAGAATATAAACGTAATACAGAATTAAAGTCATAACAACGCAAAACTAAAGCGGTAACAATGCAGGATTAAAGTGTTAACATTGCAGGATTAATGTGGTAACAATGCAGGATTAAAGTGGTAACAATGCAGGATTAAAGTGGTAACAATGCACGATTAAAGTGGTAACGAATAAAGTTGTAAAAAAGCAGGATTAAAGTGGTATCAATGCAGGATTAAAGTGGTAACGATTAAAGTGGTAACAATGCAGGATTAAAGTGGTTACGATTAAAGTGGTAACAATGCAGGATTAAAGTGGTAACAATGCACGATTAAAGTGGTAACAATGCACGATTAAAGTGGTATCGATTAAAGTGGTAACAATGCACGATTAAAGTGGTAACAATGCACGATTAAAGTGGTAACGATTAAAGTGGTATCAATGCAGGATTCAAGTGGTAACGATTAAAGTGGTAACAATGCAGGATTAAAGTGGTAACAATGCAGGATTAAAGTGGTAACAATGCACGATTAAAGTGGTAATGATTAAAGTGGTATCAATGCACGATTAAAGTGGTAACGATTAAAGTGGTAACAATGCAGGATTAAAGTGGTAACAATGCACGATTAAAGTGGTAACGAATAAAGTTGTAAAAAAGCAGGATTAAAGTGGTATCAATGCAGGATTAAAGTGGTAACGATTAAAGTGGTAACAATGCAGGATTAAAGTGGTTACGATTAAAGTGGTAACAATGCAGGATTAAAGTGGTAACAATGCACGATTAAAGTGGTAACAATGCACGATTAAAGTGGTATCGATTAAAGTGGTAACAATGCACGATTAAAGTGGTAACAATGCACGATTAAAGTGGTAACGATTAAAGTGGTATCAATGCAGGATTCAAGTGGTAACGATTAAAGTGGTAACAATGCAGGATTAAAGTGGTAACAATGCAGGATTAAAGTGGTAACAATGCACGATTAAAGTGGTAATGATTAAAGTGGTATCAATGCACGATTAAAGTGGTAACGATTAAAGTGGTAACAATGCAGGATTAAAGTGGTAACGATTAAAGTGGTAACAATGCAGGATTAAAGTGGTAACAATGCAGGATTAAAGTGGTAACAATGCACGATTAAAGTGGTAACAATGCACGATTAAAGTGGTAATGATTAAAGTGGTAACGATGCAGGATTAAAGTGGTAACAATGCAGGATTAAAGTAGTAACAATGCAGGATTAAAGTGGTAACAATGCGCGATTAAAGTGGTAATGATTAAAGTGGTAACGATGC